CTCTAAACTATATATTCTTAAAGTGCACTGAGCAGCCTAAAAATCTATGTAACTTACCCATATAATATAGTTACAAAATGCTCAAACTCGCATTGTGACATTTATAGCTCGGCTTATATTTCTCCAACAGAAAATTCATCCGCAGTAGAATTTTATTGTGCTCTTACCGTTTCTAATAACATCCAAACACAGAAACCTTGCCTAAAATGGTACCTATGTTGACAAATTATTTACTGTGGCCTATATTACGGACCGTGGCCCACTGGGTTGGTAACATTATTGAAAATAACACGACATTTTGGCTGTAAAAATGGCACAATGAGTAAATACTATTTAATCAGCTACTGTCATGACGGAAAGTCGTATTTATTTCAAACTAGATCACATCATACTTTATAAGATACGTTGATTCACAATGTATGCATCAATATTTACGTAACAGACAATTTACATTATTTTTTGCTTTTTGGAAATGCTTCATTACTATGTAATTCGCATTATTTGTTGCCAATGAAGCCGCACGACCATATAAATGAGGAGGCCCCTAACAGTTCAAGAATAAAAGGGATCATTACTTCAAGTTTATTCCACTACACCTAACATTCCGTAGAAAGATTATATTGACAACTTTATGTAATTGATAAGGCTGAGACATCTAACTGACATCCCCCATTTCTAGGAATTCCAGCTTTAACAGTAACCCCAAAACCAATTTCTCAAAACTTCAAAATTTTAAAAACGCAATTAATATTATTCTTGTTTTTACGCTTATTAATCTTTAAACAATGCTAAATGCTTAAAATATGTATAATTTCACTCAATTTATCGCAGTTAGATGAATTAGTGTAAGCCTTGAAAGTAACCGCCGATTTCGACGGGTTTCACCTAGTTAAATCTATTTCAATAACATAAGGTTTAATTAGTACCTACTCATGTTTGCTGCTACAAGGAGGGTAATAAAGTGTGCTTGTTTTAATCAATATACTAAATTATTTGTTTTTTTAAGCTCTTTAAGATGGTTTGGAGAGAATTGGAAAATTTTAAGTTTGGAGGGTTAAAAATGAGAAACCCCAAATTTTTACCCCTTAACCGTTCCGATGGTCCGATCACACTGGTTCGTGAACTTCTTCGAATAAACAGAGGGTCACACGTTTGTACCACATTTCATCAAAATCCGACCATTTTTGCTCGAGTTATCGTGCCAACAGACACACACATATAAAGGGTGCGCCAAAAAAAAACTTGACGGTTTCTGTTTTGTAATAAGTCAGCTGTTATACTAGCTAGAGACCTCATTGTTGTAGTGAACGATTGCTTATGTTATGCCATTTTTAGGTTATGTTTGGTAAAACACCACGTCGTCAAAAGAAAGTTACTGTCTAGTGTGGTGCAGTGTGGTGTGGCACTGTTTGGAGTCATCGGACCATATGTTTTTGAGGACGAAAGTGGGAACACCCCCCTGTCACTGTAAACTCGGAACGCTATTTGGAAATACTGAGGGGTTTTTTGGTTCCACAACTGCGGATTTTATGAGGGATAGACACGACTAACACGTGGTTTCAATAGGACGGCGCAACTTGTCATACAGCCAATTATTCAAAGTCAGTTTTGCGTGAACTCTTTCCCGGTAAAGTGATCTCTTGGTTAGGTGATGTGCTGTGGTCAGCTCGATCCCCAGACTTAATTTTGTGTGACTGTTGGCTGTTGGGATACTTAAAAAGCAAAATGTTTGTTTCGAAATTTCAAACCATTCCTGAACTCAAGCAGTGTGTCAGGGAAGAGATTGCTTCTATTCATCAGGCGAAGGTGACTGCAAATATTCAAAAAAAATGGGAAGCCTGTGTTTAGGAGAAGGTGATATAACCTGAGTGATATAATTTTTCATAAATGAAAATGGCATAGTAGTGTGTACAATATAACGTTATTTAATACATGAAATTGTAGTTTGTTTTTGAGTTATTTAGTATTAAAAACCGTCAGGTTATTTTGGCGCACCCTTTATATTAGCTAATAAATTATTGAAAATTAAGTACTCTTTTTAAATTAATTTTATTAATTAGCCTATATATGTGTGAATTTGAACGGATTGTGTTTCTGGCCTCTGGGGACATCAAATGAAAAAGTAAATCGATAGTTTTTACTTATAGTTTACTCGATACTGTTTCCCATGCTCGTCTTCGATTCCCATGTTAAACACTATCTCGCCCCGAAATGAGACTTTCGTGACGAGTATTGAACAATACTTGTTATCACGGTAAAAAAAACTACTTTAAAAACATTTTTTTGCTATTTCGTAATCCATTCATTTTTCTTCAGTTGTAACTTTGAGACAAAGTATTGTTTGTGTAACGAAACCAAAAGTAATATTTATGTAACGAAAGTAATGGTTATGTGAGGAAAAGTCAGCTGATCACTATTTGTTTTTGGTGTATGGAAATTGAAGATTTTCGAAGATCTCAGCTGTTTGGAAATGGGCTATTTTCGAATACAGAGTGATAAAAAATAAGGTTTCAGCTGACTACAAAACCCCGTCCGTAAAATGAATACGTAGTCCAGGAGCTGAGGGGGTTTGAGCATGCATGAAAGTAGTACGCAATGTTATTGCTGATTATTGTAGTATGGACTGTGGTGATCAAAATTACGTATGTCGCCTATTTCAAAAGTGGTCGATAAGGTGGGGGCAGAGGGGGCAAACATGGCGGTTTGCGCTATGCGTTAAAACGCTAATATTTCGAAAACGGTAAAAGATAGTACATCGGTTAAAACGTCATTGTAATTCTAAAAATGTGGACTACAATAATGGTTATTGAGTCCTAGGTCGTATCTCTATAAATAAACAAGTTATTGTATAAAATATGTAAAAATGGACTTTTCGTGTAGTTTTTTTTTTACCGAAAGTAGAATCAATTTGTGAGTGTCGCAAAGAAGTAATATCAAATATCTTTGCTGATAGTTGTACTATAGACTGTGGTGATAAAAAAAAACATTTCGCCTACTTTTCAGGTGGTCGAGAACTTTTGGGGGAGGGGGGCAAAGATGGCGGAACGCGCTATGCATTAACACGACTGTAGCTCGACAACGGTACGAGATGGGACATCGGTTAAAACGTAGTTTTAATCCAAAAAATATGGCCAATAGAAAAGGTTATTCGAAAAAAAGTTGTATCTTAACTAATAAAAAAGTTATAGCAATAATAAGTTTAACAAAATCTACATTATACAGCTATTTTCTTCAAAAATCGTATGGATTGTTGATAAATAATAGTGTAATTACTTAATTACTCGGCTAAATATTTACCAGATACATTTTCTTATAAGAAAAAAAAATATTATTACGAATGTAATATGGTTTAAAATGTAAAACAAGGCCTCAAAACGCCTTGGGTTCGTTCGATAGGTTGCGTCATAATTGCTGCGCAGTGCTTCCCCCAAAGTTCATTGCCTTCCAACTCAGTGATATCGGGGTTGTGAAAGTATTTGTACAATTTAAGACTACTGACATTTATTGTATTTTATTTGTACAAATAACATTCTATTATAACTTTTAATAGTTTTTTTTTAAATTTCAATAGGCTACATTTTTTTTAAGTTGCTTACGTTTTTTTTTTAAATTGTGTGTGGCTGGTTTTTATATACGTTTGTTCTTAGTGACTAGTGGATTAGGCAATTTTAAAGTAAAATTTCACCAACTTACAAAAGTTAGGTACCTATTTCAATTCAACAAATAATATGAACAATCAGTGTAATTGTTATGGATAGAATGAAGAGATTTACCGTATTTTTTTATTATAAGGTATTTACTTTTGTTGTTATGTTTTTTATTTTATAGGCTATAACTGTATTTAATAGAATCTGTTACATAATTATATTGTAATAACCTATAACATTATAATTAAAATTTTATTTGTAGTGGTAATCTATATTATGCATTTGATTGCGGCGAAACCCCAAGTAGTATACGTAGTTTGGAGGCCGTGTTTTACATTTTAAACCATATACATTCGTAATAATATTTTTTTTCTTATAAGAAAATGCATCTGGTAAATATTTAGCCGAGTAATTAAGTAATTACACTATTATTTATCAACAATCCATACGATTTTTGAAGAAAATAGCTGTATAATGTAGATTTTGTTAAACTTATTATTGCTATAACTTTTTTATTAGTTAAGATACAACTTTTTTTCGAATAACCTTTTCTATTGGCCATATTTTTTGGATTAAAACTACGTTTTAACCGATGTCCCATCTCGTACCGTTGTCGAGCTACAGTCGTGTTAATGCATAGCGCGTTCCGCCATCTTTGCCCCCTTCCCCCCAAGTTCTCGACCACCTGTAAAGTAGACGACATGCGTATTTTTTATCACCACAGTCCATATTACAACTATCAGCAAAGATATTTGATATTACTTCTTTGCGACACTCACAAATTTTATCTACTTTCGCGAAAAAAAAACTACACGAAAAGTCCATTTTTACATATTTTATACAATAACTTGTTTATTTATAGAGATACGACCTCGGACTCAATAACCATTATTGTAGTCCACATTTTTAGAATTACAACGACGTTTTAACCGATGTTCTATCTTTTACCGTTTTCGAAATATTAGCGTTTTAACGCATAGCGCAAACCGCCATGTTTGCCCCCTCCCCCCCACCTAAATATGCCCTTGTCGTTTAATAAAGTCTATTCTTGTATTTATTTGATATTTCAACATCCAATCTGATATGTATATGTGCTTTCCGTTATCCCATACCACCAAAAGTCTTAAAACAAATATCACAAAAATTAAGAAATTTGCCACCACTTTGAATTTGATTTTTTAGTAATTTCCCATGGTCGGATTTTGTCGGATTTTTGATATATTTGATTTTTGACCCGTAAGGATTTACAGTGAACGGTACAACCTTAATCATTGTAGTCATAGTAACAAACCTTATTATTAAATTACTTGTATCCGGAACGCTTAATTGACTTTTCGCTTATTTAAATTGCAGAAAGCCTACTATGAGAGTTCCACACACTGTTCCACCCAACACTCTGAAGGCGTATGAGCCATCAACTCCCACCCTGTGGCTGGTCGGGGAGCGAGCACGTAGACTCCGGGCCGAGAACTGGACATGGGACGACACCATCCCAACCTCGCTAGCCGAGGAGTGTATCCGCTTTTTCGTGAATAACTTCGACGAGCACAAGAGAGTGACCTCCATGTTAGGCGAAGACGATTTAATGATATTTTTGGAAACACTTTCAACAGAGCTGCCTCTGGAAATAGTAATTCCTCTCATACCCGATGGCGTCTACTGGCAACGCCGATGTCTGAACACTTGGGCGACAATGAATGACGTGACAAGATACGATGGTTCCTGGAAGAGAATGTTCACCGAAAGATACATTAGAGACATGATAGAGACCGAGGAGCCGGGCTATACGGATTGGGTAGAAATGGGAAACACGTTGAAGCTTTGCTGTCCTTTTGTGAATCGTCTGGAGATATCTCAGCTACAACCACCTAGAGTGTTGCAGGCGGCTCCTGTCGACCCGGACCTCTGCAGCACAGAGGACTTCATACCGCAGCATCTCGACCTGTGTCCGGTGTTGACCATCCTGGAGAATCTGCACGAGCTCGACTTGCAGTTCGGAGTGAAAGGAATCGGTATGAAATTTACGTTTAAATGTTTCAGAATCCACCCAAAAGACATAGAAAAACTAGCCAACGGGCTGAAACTTTCAGGAAATCTACAAATCCTCAGAATATCGTGCAGTGACATTGACGATAATAAACTCATCACTATACTAAAAAGCTTAGAGCACTGTAAAAGTTTTAAGGAATTAGAAATCGCTCATTGCAAGGTCACCGATGTGGGTAGCAAAGCACTCGGTCATTTCATAACGATTAAGCATTCTCTTAAGCACTTAAAACTCCAAAACAACTTAATTACCGCTGAAGGGGCTCAAGCTTTGGCGTTCGCATTGACAATGGAGGACTCGGCAAATTTGGAAACTGTCGACCTAAAGTTCAACTTGATTGGTGACGAGGGCGGGAGGCACATCGCTGCGGGGTTGAGCAAGAGCAAATATCCTGAACATATGATACTCGCAGGCTGCGGTTTGAGGAAGGAAGCTGGAGACGACTTGGTAGACATGCTGAGGTTCAACGACACCCTTGTGACCCTGGATCTGACCAACAACGACCTGGGTCCTGACGTAGGTAAGCGGATGGCGGACGTTATGCGGACCAATCGTACCATATTGAAAGTCGATGTTCGAAACTGCAGATTCAAAGAGACTTGTGAGGCGACTATCCATCATCTCACCTTCAGGAACAGGGAACGACTGAGGAAAAAGAACTCGAAGAGGTCCGATGAAAGGAGCGTTACAGTGATGTCAGCCTGTCCGAAAAGAGCTACATCAATTATTTATTGATCCAACTTTCAGCAACAAAATTCCGGCTTAAGGCAATCAGTAATTTTGTATGCATCGAACACGTTGTTTAATGTATTTATGATTATTTCCTTAATTACTCTATATGGTTCAGGATTAATATTAGTTTACGCAACGATTGTGTTAAGTGAGTCTTTACGACACGAGTAGAAAATTTAAGGCACGAGCCTTGGCGAGTGCCTTAAAAACTTCTACGAGTGTCGTAAAGACTATTAACGCGAGTTGCGTACACTACTTTACCTACGACCGTTTTTTAATTACTATCAATCTGGATTTAATTACTAACAATAACTACTGATAACTTTTTAGAGAGGTTATGTTTTCGTGTACCTATTGTCATTGCCACTGAAAGTGATGCAACGACTTGTTGTATAATTAGCTGATTTCGTGTAATTACGTGTTTGTTAAACTTTGTTAAATATTACATTGCTAGCAGCATTCTTACCATAAATAATATTGTATCAGGTACAATTCGGCAAATATTTCATTTATTTTTGGACTTCCACAAACTTAATTAAGAATACGCGAGTATCAACATGAACAAGTCGGATCAACAATTAATTTGGTCAACTTATCAGCTGATCAGCTGATTAGTTGACGTTCAAAGCATTACAATTTTAATTCTTTTCTCTCAATACTTGAACCTCATTGGTCCGTTACCTGTGTGGATATGAGAAAACTATGCGGATATGAAATGAAACTATGCGGATATGAAAGTAAACAGCTGTAAAGTGAAACTTTTCAATTCTAAGAACTGGACTGAAATGGCTACTTTAAAAAACGGTCGTAGGTAAAATTGATTTTTATGATAAAAATGTCAGCACCCCATTCTCGATATCTAATTTGAATTTCTCATATTTTACGTTGTTTTCATTCAGCCCAAATATTTGGCCTGTATTCAGGACTGTACCTGACCAAAACAGTTTAATATTCGAACACCTAAAATTTTACAATAGTAATAAATTATGTGTTTCGGGACAAATAATTGATAATACTTCACTTTACTGTAAAATTATTGTTTCAACCAAATACTTTGGTATGTTAGCACATCATGTTCAATATTGTAACAGCGGATTAGAAACAATATTTATTACTAACTCATGTAATTGTGGCTGGTCAATTGAAGCTGTCATAAGTTAAACTTTGGTGTACGTATATACTCCAATGTTTAAAAAATATTACTTAACTGCAATTGATAACTTTGTTATTTTACGGTTATTTTGAACAAAGTAAAGAGATTTATGGTACAAATGTTGTATTCTTTGTTTTAATTGTTTTGTAATTATGTTTATTCTAATTTAAATTTTACGAGTCATTAAATAAATATTGTTTACATGTATTTAGAAAGGTAGTTACGTTATTATGATATACTTGTCCTATCTACAGGATTGGGCAAAAGTCTGGAACCCCCCAGTTAACTTTTTAACGCGTTGTAGTAGGAAAACCAAACTTGGCACATATTTACAACATAAGAAATTGCACTTTTTGATCAAAGTTACAACTTTGCCCCAGCCCCAAAAATGGGATATTTTTGGGGCAGCCCCAAATTTTCAAATGTAAACACCCCTCATTTTAAAAGGTTTTTCAAGAGAAATTGAATGGCGCCAACTAGAGGTCAATATCGCACCCCTAATCAAAATGGCAGCCATTTTAATTATTTAAGATGAGCAAGCAAGATAATGTCTGGACACCCCCAGTTAACTTTAAAAATTTAATATTTTAATAATGACCAAAAGGTGAACTCTCTTTTTTTATAAAGGTATGCTGAGATTAGTTTTCCTGCTATAAAAAGATAATAGGGGATATTTAAAAATGACTGCCATTTCGATTAGTGGTGCGATATTGACCTCTAGTTTGCGCCATTTAATTTGTTTTGGGACACCCTTTATAATGAGGGGTCACGAGATAGGTGTTTGAATTTGAAAATTTGGGGCTGCCCCCAAAATACCCCATTTTGGGGGCCGGGTACAAGTTCTTAACTTAAATGAAAAAGTGAATTTTTAAATGTTGTAAACATGTGCCAAGTTTGGTTTTCCCACTGCCACACGTTCTAAAGTTAACTGGGGGTGTCCAGACTTTTATCTTGCATGCTTATCTTAAATTAAAATGGCTGCCATTTCGATTAGGGGTGCGATAATGACCTATAGTTTGCACCATTCAATTTCTCTTGATAAACCCGTTAAAATGAGGGGTCACATGATAGGTGTTTACATTTAAAAATTTTGAGCTGCCCCCAAAATATCCTATTTTGGGGCTGGGGCAAAGTTTTAACTTTGATGAAAAAGTGCAATTTCTTATGTTGTAAATATGTGCCGAGTTTGGTTTTCCTACTGCAACGCGTTAAAAAGTTAACTGGGGGGTTCCAGACTTTTGCCTAACCCTGTATATTCTCACTGGCTAAGTGCCATCATGTATATGGCAGAACACAATCAATGAATTACTACAACATGTCAACATCATGCCCTCTTAACATTGAACTTTACCAGAGTACCCCTTATAAACTTTTTATCAAAGAAAATTATTTCACGTAATTTAAAAACTAAGTGATTCACTAAATTAATTTCTTGTTGTTTTCAAACATCTTTGGGTTGGTTCGTTCATGTATTTTCATTGGTTGCTTTATTTGTTTTTATGGTCAAAGAATGCCCTAAAATGTATAAATGGATCAAATGTTGTCCGAAATTAAAAATGAGAAGAAGAACATATGTTAATTGTGACAGAGAGGTTAAGCAGAAAATCAGGTAGTTAATGGTTAATTGGTGCTATTAAAATAAAGACTGAAATGTGTAAACGTACTGGCGACAAAGGGTGATACCATGCAGACTACATTATCATTGACAAAGACCAACATGGACAACCTATTGCGGCTATAATTGGGAAACATTTCTACAATACACTAAAAGCCAGATCAGCTTTTGAAAAATTATAAAATATTTACAAGAAATGTTTATTCTGTATTGAATTTTTAAGTACATTGTGAGTATTATCATTAGTGACGTAATCTTTGAGATGACTCTTTTAAACTCATCGGAATGTATGACTTATATTTGTTCTTAAGTACGTTATTTGTTTTTAAATAACTCCTTTACTTCTTTGTGATTGCTCGATTTCGAGCAACATGTACACTAGTAATCAATTAAACAATAAATAGAAACACATGAGCATAAATAGTCCATTCTTGTTGCTTTATATTACCATCAAAATTGCATAATTTTATTTCACCACAAACAAATTAATGTAGGCTATAGTAATATTTACTAAACTATGAACATTTATTATGACTTACAAAGTATAGATTTACTTTGTCTAGAAGCAATAATATTCATGGAGTTTGAGGTAGGCATCTTATTGTTCATCATTATTTCATTTAAGCACTCTCATAATCCATAAAAAACTATAAAACTCATAAGTTTGGCTCGCTCAATTCGTAGGTAGGCTACAGTATTTACACCCGAATAGTTTTGCATGTTCTTCTCCTAGTGTTGTCAGCATTCTGCTGAGGAGATGCGGTGCAGTCACAGCTGATAAGAACAGCTGATCACTGATAGTGGCGCGTGCTGATGAGGACAGGTTCTAGCTCTGACGTCATGGATCGATGCAGCAACTTCCCCCGTCCGACCCACTTCCCTAAAGACTACGTTTGACTTTCATTTACTATTATGTCCATTTATTTATCCATCCTTATCCGGTATAAACTTCTAATATGATGAAAACTAACTGAATGTTGTTGATGTGTGTTATTTAGTAACTCTATTGTTCTCTGATTATGTACGTTAAAGATTGCTGTATTAGTCTGGGATCAAACGGATTTAATACTATTTGTATATAAAATCACGTCATTCACGTATAATATTATACGAATTGGATGGTGTATGCCTGTCTGTGCAGCTGTCACGACTTAAATACTAAAAAAATAAAGCCAAAATTAAGCACAAAGATGGTTCATGTACCTAGAAACTTCATATGCCTATTCAATTCCCTGAGTTTTCCTTGGGCTACGTCCCGTATACGTCCAAAGTTTTGATATGAGGTTTTGAAAAGTGAATATTGATTAGTCTCCATGGCAGGATGAGAAAATTCACAAAGTTTACCTTTACATTGACAATTCAATATTATAAAGTACTGCTTAATGCTTACTTCACAATGTCAGACAGCTGATCCAAACAAATCCTTTACTCTTATATGAGCAATATTTGCTTGTATCACAAAATTAGTGCAATTTAATATTAATATTTAATATTAATTTATTTATATTATTATATATTTATTAAAATGTGTGCAATATTTAATATCTCGAAAACAACTTCGACGATTTCCTTCAAATGTTCTAAATAATCTATATCTGGCCTAAAAATGTGTTAACTGCAGTTAAAAGTGCCAACAATAATTTAAATACGTAAAAGAATTATATTGAAAGTCAATTTTCAAAAAATATTGAAGTAACCATGTTGGCTGAACAAGTTTTATCTATGGCTGAACAAAATAAAAAGGAAAAGTAAACAAAAGACTTTTAACATTTGTTTATAACACGCCATCCGCAGTATAGTAGCAAAAATACAGTACAAAGGAGAAAACATCAGTAGTTACTATTGAGCAAAGATTACACTGACGATTACTTGATATATATACCGTGCCATGGCTCGGTCTCCAGGTACTTAAATATAATACTAGGGAACCCTATAGTAAGAAACAAAACGGCTTGGAAAACTTGCTGCTTGAATTCAAGTTAACTGCAGTAAGATTATCAGAGTTGTCTGAAAATGTTATAGAACTTGTTAAATATCTCTAATTGTGTTGTGGGTTCGCGAACTTATCTGTTCTCAGTGTTGACCGATTACTTCTAAATGAATGCTAAACGTTCGTCACGACTAAAATACTAAACCGATACCGCCAAAATTAAGATCAAAGATGGTCCTGAAGATTTAAAGAGGACTAAACATTTTTTTACATACCGTGTAGAAATCCCAAATCACCGTCAAAAGGACTTTATTTTGCCCCCCAACGAACAGAAACTTGGATAAAAGATAACGTTCATATTCAGGCATAGATAACTTGCA